GAGCCAAAGCCTTGCCTGCACCCTCAGAGCCAGCTGACTGATGCAAAGCTATGGGCAGCTCCCTGCTACAGGAACGGTCTGGTGAAATTCAGTAGACAAAGACCATTTGCAGCCCTGGATCACAGCAAGTGCCTGAGCCCCTGGACTACTGCGAGAGCATTTCACAGTCATTGCTGCGCTGGGCTGCACTGCGATTAAAGCAAGGAGGGAAAGCAGTGTTGCCTAACCATAGCATGGCCGGATGAGGTGGAATGGAAACTCTTAAAAGCCAACAGCGCCTTTGTAAATGCTGAGCTCTGCCAGCAGGGTGCTGCTCTCAGACACTCAGGTATTCTCACCTGAGACAGACAATAAAGTGCATTTCCCTTGCATCTTTTTCTTTACCAGTTTCAGATACCAACGGGGACCAGGATTTTGGGATCTGGACGCACAGAGCCTCACTCATGCTCCGAGACCCCAGCAGTATTGCTGCATGTTAAGGCAGGGCTTAGAGCACAAAAGTCCCCCACATCTGAAGGTGTGCATCAAGGGACTGGTCCAACAGACACAAATGGCACATCATGAGAATGGCAGAATCTGGCTTAGTGCCTCCACTTCTCCAAGCTTAAAGGACAAAACATTTTAGCATCATTTTCCTCCCTTCAGAAGTCTCAACCTTTTGGAGTCTCACCCTGTTTAAGCCTCAGTAAAGTAAAAAAACAGGGGTGGGGGGAGCATCTCTGTTGCCTCCTTCCACCAGCTGACAACACAGTTGTTAAAGCAGCAGATGTTCAGTGACTGCTCACTCCCTCTTATTTATGTGTTTGTACAAGTGCTCGGCGCTCACCTGTATCGTTACGATGTCGGCAGTGACAGCTGGCAATGGAAAATCTAAAGTAACACCTGCAGCATTCACTTTTTTTTCAGCACCGCGCGTGTCGGTTTCTTTAGCACCAATAAGTGGCATTACACAGCCTCACTAAATCCACACACCTGTGCAGTCATTTGCAACTTATGGATAGCTGCTGACGCAATGTTCAAACCAACAGCTCTGGCTCACACCTTTCTGTTCTCCCCATCCATCTCCAAGCCGCCAGAAGAGCAAACAGCAGCAAAACCCCGCAGTCAATATTCCCTGAGACGCCCTTTTACAAACGCCGGGGGCACTTTGGAGCTGCTCTCCACAGATGCTCACCAGGTCTGGAGAGCCGTCAGCTGCCCCAGGATATCAGAGAGCGCCAGGAAGCACTGCTGCCCAAACCTCAGGCTGCCCGACCCAACTCCCACAAACACAGCGCCACTGGAAGCTCAATTCCACCTTGGCTGCAACTGCTGCACGTCAACCTGTGGTCTCCCTGGGGGAAGGCTCTGTTGGAAGCTGTTTACATCACCGGCTGCTTTCCTCTACGAGGAGCTGCTATCTCTGCCTGAAATTAAGAGTGCTTGACGTTTCCTACCATAAGCCCCTGTTTTTAAACTCGTTTATCCCTTTGCCAGTAACAATTTAGGCTGAAATTTGTAGGAAACATTGTCTGTGGTGTGAAACTGCCATCAGAACAGTTTGACTTCTTCCACAAAGAGACTGCAGAGAACACCATCGCTGGTTCTCAGCTTAAAGTCGGTCTGATCCAGGACTGGCCAAACTAATCAAGCCTGTGTTTTTCTACAGATTTGTACCCAGTCTCTTTCAAACCCTCTTTCCTTTCAGTAATCCCCATTTAGGTACCTGCTACCAAACAGAATGAGCACGATCTGAGTTGTACCCATTTTCCCTCGCTGATGAAGGCCGTCAGTCACAGGGGATCCTCTGACCATGCCCCAAATTTCATCTCACCGCCACACTTCTACTGCGACAAAGAAAAGTAACATTCAGAGAAACACTGCCCTGACTGACTTTGGTTCAGAGGATGGACGATGTCACTTTAAAAATCATTACTGCCATGAAAAGGAGGAAAAATGTGAATAAATAAATAAATGCATTGGCATCCTGAGAGCTTCGCTAAAGCTCTTTCAAGTGCACAACTCCATCAGCGCGCTGTGCGCTGCGCACGGCACACGGGCTCAGAGGGGTAATTATCCACGGGTTGGAAGCCAGTGTGAATACACACACTGTTGGTCAGCACGATGCTGTGCTTGCTGCTGCTTTTTGTTTAATCCATTGTAATTACTGTGGATCTATTTCTGCTGATAACAGAGAGTGAACTGGTTCTGGTCAGACAGATTTCTGGATACGGAAAATGAGCAGAACATCTGAGAGAACTTACTGTGTTACCAGAAATATTTACAAACGGCTCTTCCTTCCCTCGGCTGGCAGCACATCCCAGCACTGAGGAAGCAGCACGGATGGCTTTTGAAGGGATGGAGAAAGCCAAAGTCCACTTCTCCATCGACCTGAGAAAGCAACGCCACGGGGCTCCAGCAGAAGCCCAGGCTGGAACTGCTCCCAGAGTAACAACTGCCCCCTTGACGGAAGGCTCGCGTGAGTCTGAGTGCACCGTGCACCAGGCACAAACCAGCCTCTAGGGACAATGAGAGGCCGCCGTGCCATGGCAGCAGAGCACCTGGAGGCCTGGGGTACCTTTTGTGCCACGAGATGTGATTCCAGGACTGTCAGTCCTTCCAGCCGAGGACAGCGATATTCTACACAGGCTTGACGCCAACGTGCACCAAGAGCAACGCAGACTCTGGGCTCGACTGACAGCAGCGCAGCCTTCTCCACAGCACGCAGCCCTATCCCAGTGCATCTGTATCAGCAACGCAGAAACCAGCATTAGCACGAGGAGAAGACACACATACAGACCAACCAGGAGCTGCAGCTTTCCTCAGTTTGTGACAAGGCCTCGGCTGGATGCTGGGATGCTCCCCATGCACAGCCAGGCACTTGCAGCAAGCACCTTGTGCCCATGGGCAGAGAGCTGCAGTAAGGCACAACGCTGGGCTGAGCAGGCACGTTCCAGCTCACAGCAGCAATGGAAGGACATTGTGCAGGAAAGCAAAAAGCCTCAAGGAAAGGATTAGTGGTGTCACAAGCTAAACACCTCCTCCCTGATGATATACAGGATTGGGTCAGCTGTGCAGACAAGCGAGAATGCTGCAGCATGGAGTGAGAAACAAACTGCTGCCTCCAGTAGCATTTCAGATAACAAGCAGAAGACTAGCATACAACAAGCAGCATTTTAAGAGCTTTCCCGTAGAGGACAGGCAGAGATTTGTCAGTGTGTAACTGCACACCGTTTCTACTCTAGATCTCCTCCTTGGCTGCTTTAACTTACCCAGCAGATTTAAATGTAAGAAACAACACCAAACTTCTCTTTATTATCAGCCTCCAAAATCTTGCAGCTCTTGCTTCACAGTTCCAAAAACCAAAAGCTAGGAGAGCAGGTTGCAGTAGTGATACGCTGTCATTAAGAGTCCACTGCATTACAACAAACGATGCCAAAGGACCTGAGCAACAGCTCTGCCTCACTGCCTTAAAAACAGACAGCCGGGGTTTGGTGACAGTATGAACAACCAACCATCAGACCATCACTGGTCTTAAAAAAAAATAAAAAATGTATCCTTTTAAAAATTACCTTGATCCACACTAAATACACAAATTGCTCAGATGATCATGCCGTCTCATAAGCACGGGATATAGCCAGAACTTACTGCAGGTTATTTGAGCACTTGCTCACAGCGAGCAGAAAGTAGCCTGGGGCCTGCTGAAAGAACTGCCAAGAAAGGATGAGACAGAGATATAAATCAGATTTATGGGCTGTCCAGCAGACTTTACATTCAATTCTCTCTTGTCATGTTCTCATCGAGTGCAGGCACGCACACAACCCTTCTTGCAACGGTTCTGACCAGAAACGGGTCAGACCCAACCACCCCGGGGCCACATTAGATCTTAAGGTGCAAAAAGGCAGCATGCATACTCACAGGTAGACACATAATTCTACACACCACACGTGAGGCTTCATTTGTCTGCTTTCATGTGCGTACCAGATCCACTCATTTCCTTCCAGAAAAACCCAGAATGTAAATGCCAGCAACAAGTGCAGTTTAACACAGGCTCCGAGGAAAAGAAAGAAAGGCAGGACTTCACACACGTTTGTGGGAAAGAGAAACCATTCAAGTGAGTGAGAATAAACTTCCAGTGCTGATGCTTTGTAACATGACTGTGCCAGATGAGACGTCTTCACAAAGACCACAGCATGTGCTATTGATTCCATGACTCACTATTTCTAGTGTTAGAACTATGGCCAGATACTGTGCTCAGAAGGAAAATCAATGTCTGTTCTACAGAGTTTGTCTTGTAACATAAATTGAACAGATTAATACAGAAGAAATCCCGATATTAACGTCAGACAAAACTATGACGTTAGTAGCAATATGGAAAGAAAAAGCCACTACATCTGCTAAACTGTCCAATGGAACTGACGTGGAGCAAAATTCTACCCGGTCTGCAATGCATTTACTTCCCTCATTCTACAGTTAAACACAGGGTATGACTGCTGTTGGCTTCACAGAGGGCATCTGTTACACAGGTAACGTCCAGGCTGGCTTTGAGAAAATCCTGAAGACGTAAGGCAGGACAGGCTCCAGCAGAGTGAAGAACCCTACAGCCCCCTGCCCCCCGCCTTGGGGTCTTCAGTGACACTTCAAGCTCTCGCTCAGCCTGACTGAGCCCAAGCTCTCTGTGGCACGACTACATCCTCTGCTTTCTCAGCTGGCAAGGGTGTTTTGACCAGAAATCCCATCTGGATTCTCAAAATCTTCCCAATTTAGACCTCATCAAGACTTGCACACATCTACAAGGGCCTTTGATTTCGAGACGCAACAAGATTCCTAGACCTGCAACAGAAAAGCTCCTCAGAGTATCTTTCCACCCACTCCAGCTGCATGACTGGTAACAGACTGTGCCTGTGCTTCTTGGATAGAAGAAGTATACGTATGTGGACATGTGTGCACAGGTATTCTTCCTGGTGAAGGCGTGCTTTCTACTGCGTTGGGGCTGTTCCTGCTTGAAAAACATCACAGCATCCTTACGCACTGCCCAGTACCACGGGTGTTTACCAGGATATGCCCGTGCCGACTCCTTTGGTATTCCTCCTGCAGTGCACCCGCTGCCACCACGAGGAATATGGCCAGGGTACGTCATCAGAAAGCACGAGGCTTGAAGCTGCCACTTATTTTCGCTGGTGGCCACAGAAGCGACGTCCCAGGGCTTTGTTTCCATCACTTTCCTCTTCCTGCTGGAGAATTTTGGTGGCACAGTGCGGACACCAAACGCCAGCGGCCACTGGTGAGTCATGCAGATGGCAGGACTGAATGGATTTGACCCAGAGGTTACCAGCCTTCCAAAGTGGAAAAATAGATGGCACCAAATGTTCTCAGCAAAACAGCCCATCTTTGCATAAGAAAATATCCTCTGTGCTTTCCTTTCAGGAAAAAAAAGGGGAGGGGGGAGACAAACTTCCAACCTTCCTAAAAAGGCAGTGAGCTTTCTGCACTCCTGACCTTTCACTTGCAGAGGGAATGCCCATTTCCTGCTGAGCTATGGCTCTGATCATCCTTGCCAGAGCTAAGATGCACACGAGCTGGCTCACCCTTGTTTCCACTGCTGCTGGAGCACACCAAGGACACTGTGTGCCCTGCTGCCTTCAGCACCGAGCCAAGCAATGCGATTCTTCACAGGACCTTTTACAGCACTGAAGAGCTGCACAGAGGAGCCCCACAGGATGGCATGGAGTGCAGCAGTGCAGGGAGGTGGTGAAGCATCTTCTTCTTTTGCTGTCAAGAAGATCAAATGGTCAGTCTGAAAGGGAGGCACGATGAACTCCCTGAAGCTTTGGAGTCGAAAGGGAGCAGAAAGACTAGAATCACACAGAGCAGGAGGGGGAAGTGGAAGTGCTCACCCAGAGACAAAAGAAAGGTTTATCCAAGTATTACAGTATGACAATCATGCATTGCAAATACCCCAGCAAAGTGAAAACCTGCAGTCAGTACAGGAAGCCTGAGGTTTCAGCATTCACTACAGACGGCAGCTAACAGAAGCACTGTGGGAGCTGTATCTGCCTGTGCCCCTTCTCCCAAGAAGCCCAACAGCAAACATTTGTGCTCAGCTGCTACTTTAAAACGCCACAGTCACTGTTCCAACAGCCCTACTGCTACCTCTTCCATCAGAGCTGTGCCTGCAGACCCCAGATGAGGC